TACAACCCTGGCGCATCGTAAGTGCCATGGCAGCTCTGGAAAAGCTGTGCCCTTGCCTAGTCACATATTTTAGCTATTATTTCGGAAGACGCGAACATGGAGATGGCTAGAAAAAACAGGAATGTATCCTTAGGCAGCACTGATCTCAAACATAGGTAGCTGAGCCATATTAGGAAAGGGAAAATATCTGTCTACCAAGAGGTGAAAGATGATTTTTGTGGTTCAGACACAGTGCTTGACAGAGGAGACTGAGGTTTCACTCAGTCATGGCAGGCAGACTCTTTGTGTTGCTGCTAAGCCACTTAATATCTTTAGCTTTTTCATTACCATCAAAGAGGTGAAAAGCTTGTCATTCTTCCAGACCACTGTGCAGTTCAATGCTGGCTTGCTGGAGTGTCTTAATAGATGTTTTCTAACAGTCTGTCTTTCTTTCTTCTAATATTCTTTAATTTGATAAAAGCACATTTTTTGTCTAACACCGGGTTGTAGACCAAAAATTTAGGCATACCCCCAAGTGAAGTTTGACACCCGGATTCTGGAATTTGATTTCCAGTGCTCAGCAGGATGAATAATGGTGGCTTCTAAACACAACCTTCATTATAAAAAAACCCAAATAAGTTACTAAAAATGTCCTGTGCCCATATCCTTTTAGGTAACCTGTCCTTCAGCATCACAGACCAGCCAATTTCAGTTACCAAGGGGAAAGATTTCTTTACTACCAGCAGTCTGCTCAATAGTACTGGTGAGACATCATCCTACAAGTCCCCTTCTTTCAGCGTGCCGTTGCAGTAAGCAAGAAAAGCAGAGAAGCACGAAACCTGGAGCATCATGTAAATTTAGCCAAGGAATTTCAAAAAAAGGAAAAGGGACGGAGTCGCAGCAGCTGCATCCCTACACTGTGGGTTGTCGCAGGTTTTTGGTATCCCTGCCATTCCCTGCGTCTGCAAGCAACAACCCAGCACGTGTTTTCTTCCAGCAGCCAAATTTGGCCGGTCACACTCCTGCACCCCAGGGGCCACTCATGGCTCATGCAGCGTGGTGGACTTGGTGCCCGGCTGCAGTGCTGGCTGCCACTATGGCTAAGACCCGGGCTGTGTGACGTGCCAGTAGCACCAACTTTGCAAAGGGTTGTAAGGCCAGCACAACAGGAGGTGACACTGGGGTGGTATTGCCTAGTGACATTTGTGCTCCAGCCCTCTCTGGCACCCAGCCCACTGCTGCACCCTCCACGGCGGCTGAAGGAAGACCGTGCTCCTCCTCTCCTTCCTCCCCGTAGCCAGGACCCCGAGGGCATCTCTTTCAGCCACCAGCGTCCCCGAGGGTGGCTGAGCAGGAGGGAGCAGCGGGGGGATCCCAGCACCGCGGTGGGGAGAGGCAGCTGTGGCAAGGCAGGGATGCTGCGCCACCAGAGAGAGCCCACCCCAAAAGGCGGCTGCACCCTTGGCCAGACACTTTGGCAGGGTTTGGTGTCAGTAGCATGAAAAACAAGCCCGTGGGAAGGAGGGCTGGGGCAGGCAGCTGTGCCCGGGCTGCACCACGACACGCTTCCTCTTCTCAGAGAAGCTCACGGGGGAACAGAGAAAACCAATGGCTTTTGGATGACATGCTTGCCAGGCTGTGCCTGAATAATCTCGTCGTGTGAACCGATGGGTGGCTGACATCAGCCTGCAAACCCAGTCAGAACAAAAGTGGTTTAAGTCCACAAATTAGAGCTGCATGCTCAGAGTTTGGGATCCTCAGCCTGGGAACCTGGCACCCCGCTGTTGATTTGGGCCTGGGTTGTACTATGCCTGGGGGGGAGCAGCGAGCCACAGGCAGCAAGCACAGGTTTCCCTCCTCCCCGAGGATGCTGAGCTGAGCTCTGTCTTGTGTGTCCCTTCCAGGAGGCGCGAGGAACATGAAAGCCAGTCACTTCCCCTGGCCAACAGTGGTAGCCGTCCTGCTCCTCTTCTGCAGTTTTCTAATAGCTTTAGGCATCAGGAAATGGTATCAGTACCAGAAAGAGATGTAAGTACCAGAGAGGGGAACTGCAGGGGCAGGAGGGGTGGCACAGGGGACAGCACAAACTCTAACCCAGCTGTTTGGATTTACACATTTTCATTTGAGACTACCCATAGCGCACAAGACCTTTAAATACATGGATCACTAATGCTGTTTTTTCATACAGAGGTATGACATGTGGAGCGTTCTTAGTCCTTTCATCTGTTCTGTGGGTGAACTATAAAATAAACTTTAAAAAAAGAGCTTTGATTCAGCTTCAGGGTGTGAGGGAAGAATACAAGTCAATTTTTTTCCCCAGAGCCCCCCACTTCTATTAGCTTCCCTGCCAGCTGCTTTTGCTCTCTCATTTTTCATAGTAACTTGAGGACATGTTTTAATGAAATTGTACTTCTAGGGCAATATAGACTGTCTGAGTTGTGAATAATATATTTAAAAGTAGGTTACCTGAAACTTAATCCCAGTCAAAGAAGCATTGAGTTTGTAATTATTACCAAAGTTTAATTCCCTACTAAAGCACTTGGAGATCTACTGATGAAAGCAGTATCTAAGAGCCAATTATTTTTAATCTTATTAACGTTACTAAAATGTTTGAAAAATCATGGTGACCATGAATCATTTGCAGTTCTAGAAAACCCTTTTGAAACATGACTGCAAATCCTGTATATCAAAAGTAAAAATGGAATTGATTTTTTTCACTGATTTGGGATGGGACCTTTCTTCATTTTGGTCTATAAAGTGATGAAAAAAGTTATGAGTCTTTAAATATACCTTCAGAGAGCCATGTGAGCAAAAGATCTCTGCGAGCATTTTGAATGGTTCACCAGGACCATGATCTGTTTTTCTGAAGCATGAATAAAGTAAAATTGTGAGGTGGGAGCTGAGAAAGCCAAATGAATACCAGCAGGTGCATTGGGGCTGTAGAACAGAAACAGGGAAGTTGCAGTATGCAAGAGCAAATGTCAGGTGCTCTTATAATGATTTAGTGTCCATCTACCTCCTCCTGTGAACACTCTACAACAGCCTTTTATACGGCTTTTGTGTGATAACGCGTTTTTTTCTCTTCTGTTTCAGTATGAACAGACCTCCGTCTTTCAAGCCACCGCCACCTCCGATAAAATACGCCTCCATGGTGGAGTCTGATGGGACTCCCCCATCCTGCCACGAACTGGAAAACCTGTAACTGCCTACACCCCTTCTGTAGTGCGCAGAAGACTGACACAGTTACAAGGCTTTGTCTTTAAAACAGTGATTACCAGAGTTTGGTGTTAATGACCCATATTAAAATTCAGAGCGCCTAAATGACATTAATGTTGGAAGCTGAGCACTCCTGAGGACATTTACTTCATCCCGTCTATCTCTATGTATGCATTATGTTAACACCATTGTGAGTGTCACCGTGAGATTACACGTGCTTAATTTGAACAGGGTGATCAACTGGGAATTTGCTGTCTTGTTAATGGGAGCAGATTAACACATCACTCCGCCAGCCTGCCTGAAGAGTGTTGAAGCTTTTTGTTTTACTAAGTGTATAGAGATGACAGCTCTGCCGTATGGACACCACGATTACATGGGAAACGTTGGCTTAACACAAGTTTTTTGATGCCTAGATGAGCCATTCTTACAATTATTATTTTTTACTATACAAATATTGACTAATATGACCCAATATATAATTTCCTATCACTGTGAAACTAAACAAAAAAATAATCAGCACCTTACATGGCAAGAAAATAGTCTGCATCTGTCATCACCGGGGTTGCAGCACAGGATCGCAGGGAGCGGTTGGTGAGATGAAAAGGCACTGTGCCGACCCAGTGAAAGTGTTCATGAAGAAGACTCAGTCACTGTTGGTGAAGTCAGAAGAAAGGGTCAGCTTCGGGCTCATTTACAAGCCACCTGTGGACCAGAGACTTAAGGACTGAAGTGAATAAGGACCCCAAAGATGACGGAAAGTGCCAGTCCTTTTGGAAGTGTTGTGCCTTTGAAATAATAATAATTACTTTTGAGTCTGCTTTTCTGAAATTATAGTTACGGTACATATGAAGAAAAAAAGGAATACAATAATTTTATTCTCCTTTGTTCTTAATGAGCTTCTGCCATTTGCTCTCTTCACATTTTGCAAGACCTCAGGGGTAGTTTCCCAGGTGGCTTAAGCCTGCGGAAGGGACAGTCCAGACTTACCCCTATCCTGCCCGGGCTACGTATTTCTTTGCAGTGACACTAGTGATTAAATGACCATGCCGAGGGTGGGATCAGCTCAGCCTGCTGCACAGTTCTTAGCCAGGTCAGCAGCTGCGAGATCACTAATGCAAGGCACAAGAGATGCAGCAGGAGCACTGCTTTTGGCAGCGGTGTGGTCTTTCACTGCCTTCAGCCAGCCAAGAAACTGTCCCTCCAAGCTCGTTTGAAAATGTATTGTTACCACAATGGTATTCTGTAATTAATGCAAATCAACTAAAATTCAGTCATGTCAAGCTTAAAATTGGTATTCTGATTTAGGAATGGGATTTGCCTTATTTACTGCTAAACACTGGTCGATGAGTATCAGGGTTCAGAGCACTCTATTTCCCAGGACTTTAGATGAATGAATGACTTACTGGAAAGAACGATTTGACAGACCTTTTTAAAGTATTTGGTAGTGTTATTCACCTTATAGCACAAGCGGTTCTAAATCCATCACCAAGGGAATATCTGTCCTCAACAGAAAACATTTTCCTTCCCACAAAACTGCACGGACATTGCATGCACAGAAGGCTCAATATTAATTTGAGCGTTTATTGTCCGCATGGGTTTGTAGAAGCAAAGTAGTTTAACTTTTGCCATACTATCAGTCACTGCAAAAGAAGGCAGCTTTTTGTTCTTCAGAAAAAGAAATCAGAAAAAAAAAAAAAACCAGCTGGATAGCCATATTCCAAGGGAGACGGGGAGCCAGGACTTTCTTCCTTGTCATTAGATGAGGATGACTGTCAGTAGCATACCCACCGAAGAGGGGTTATTTTATCGTCTCGGATATTTTAATCCCCTCGGTTGCTTCATGTCAGAGGTGTTCCCTCCGACACTAAGGCTTTGCAGGGTGCCTTGAGAAGCGTTCAGCCTTGGCGCGATTTCCACCGCTGTCTGCTAACGGAGCCGGACTGCAAGGAGAGCTACCGGGAGCTTTGTCCCGGTCCCCGGCCCATCCCATCCCCGAAGGATGCTGCTGCTTCCACAAACCTGGATCAGCAATGTAAAGCTCTCCAGGCCACTCCCGCCCGGCTGAGGAGCACTTTCAGCCCCTCCGGGGGTCTTCCACAGCCCCCCCCC